CAGTAGCCACGTTTCAAGTGATCAATAGTCACATGTGGCTAGTGGCTATTTGTACTGAACAACACAAATATAAAACACATCCATCATTGCAAAAAAGTTCTATTGTGCTATAGTAAGCACTGAGTACTTACTATATGAAAAACTCTCATTGTCCTATTTAATCTTCACAGCATCCTTATGACGTGCATACTTATATATAAGAAAATCAAGGTTCCTAGAACCGAAGTATTTGTCCAAAGTCACGTGATTTGAAATTTCATATGACTCCAGAAACCAATGCTTTAAGACATGGGGAAAAAAAAAAGGTTGTTAGGTAGGGAGGAATAAGTCATTCACCAGAAATAGTGACACCCCAGCTTGAACTTTTTATGACAGGCAAAATCCAGTAGGTTCTCAAATAAGGGAACAAAACCACAAAGGTGGTATTTTAGGATAATTATGTAGGTTGTGTGTGAAGGGCTAGGCTAGCCCTTAAGATGTCTTTGGACAATTGGAAGAAAGAGGCTTCTTCTCTGGGAAGGATGCAGTCCTATGGGGCTCCTTAAATTAGTTAATGGAGCATGAAGTAGATTCCATCCCCTTCTTACCCCTATATTGGGTGCTCTTTTATCAAGGGGAAAAATTGGAAGGCATAAAGGAAATGAGAGCCTGTGCTCTGTGGAGGCAATGCCAAAAGAGAGGAGGAAAAAAAAGCAAAAACAAAGTTGAAGAAAGAAGTGAAAAAATTAGGTTAAAAAACCTGGCAAAACAGGAGCAGAGTCAGAGCTTATTCCATAGTTTCTAGTTTGTCAGTCCAGAACATTGTGGTGCTTATGATAGAAAAGAGATAGAAAAAGAGAGCTGACTTCTGGTTTCTGGTCTGACATGAAAAGAGCTTAGAAGTCATCACTCCCATCTACACAGGAAAAAAAGCTAAACTGAAAGTCAACAACTCTTCTTGGATCCATCAGATAACTGAGGTCACAGGGCAAACCACTGCCCCGCAAATTGGAGAGTCAGACAGGTGCATACAGAGAATCACAATTTACTAGAGCAGAAACTCATGAGCAGAAACTTCCTCAGAAAGCAGAAACTTTCCTACTGGCTGCAGTAGGAAAACCTGAGCTATAACAGACAAATTACTGGAGGCTCAGTGTGGACAAGTCTAAGAGTTAAAAACTCTGAGCTTGGTTTCCTCCAGACTTCACCCTATCTGCCTTTTCCCCTTTGATGATTTTGCTTTGTATCCTTTCACTGTAATAATTCACAGCCATGAGTACAACTATATGCTGAGTCCTGTGAGCCCTGTAGCGAATCATCAAACTTGGGAGTGGTCTTGGGGACCCCTGACTAACCTGGATTGGATCCTGGAAAAGAAAGAGGACATTAAAGTAAATGCTGGTAAAATCCAAAGAAAGTCTGGAACTTAGGAAATAGCAATGAACCAATGCCAGTTTCTTAGTTTGGGCTAATGTGCCATGGAAATGTGAGATGTTAACAGTGGGAGAAACTGGGTGAGGAGTAATTAAGAATTTTCTGTACTATCTTTGCAACTTTTTTGTAAATCTAAAATTATTCCACATTAAAAAGTTTATTTAAAAAGAAAATTACTCGAACCAAATGCTTTGGAAAGCCATAAAAAATCACATACCACTCATCCAGAGACAGAGCAAGAAAGAAACCTTTATTTACTGTAACAAGAGGGACAGATATTGTGGCAGACAAAAAAAAAAAAAAAAAAATCGGACTCAGGACTTGATTGTGAGAGTAGCAGAATTTAAAAGAAGTTTGAATTCATAACTCACAGCATGTCTCCTTACACTAAAGTTGAAGCCCTGACGGGGAGGAAAGGAGACCCTGAGACCCAGGATGGGGATATATGGGTGGATATCCTTGAGAACTTTGAGCTGATGGATTTACCTTGATGCTCTGTACACAGAAGTGGTGCATGCCCCCTTACTAGAGGACAGTGGCCTCCCTCTGCTTGAAGACCATGTAGAAGTCTTACCAGTGGAGGACGCCTTCCAAGATGATTCTTCCTCTTCTCAAAACTTACCACAATCCCCTCCAGTGTTTCTTAACCAATAATCAGGGCAAGTTTCATCATGGCCTGATGGGGAAAGCACTGTCCCTGTTTTGAAACAAAAAGGGTTATTCACCAAAGATGTACTGTAGAATCAGAAGAACATACCTGGCGATGGAGCCTGTGTATGTGTAGGGAAAGTGGTCTGAGGTTGATATCAAAAATTTGTTGGTGTAAATCCAAATGACCAAGAAAACTCTAAAGAGACTAAATTTAACTGAAATTGTTAAGGTTATTTTCTGTCATCAGGGAGACAGGGGCTCAAAAGAAGTTGTATTACAGAAAAATGAAAAAGTTGAATTTGTTTGCATATACAATTTGTGGGCTATACTGACAAACGTCTTTCAATTGCCCAATTACTTCGTTAGGAGAAGTAACAACACAAGATCTCTGTGTCATCTTGTTTCTAACACAGGGTCTGGTTCTTAGTGACTATCAAAAACTTTGCTAGCTGGAGGAACTTACGAAGAGACTGAGGATATACACACAAAGGTAAATACCTACAGAAACTTGAGCATGCTTGTCATTAAGGAGGGGCTAAAACAGTTTCTTTAAAATATGAACGTTTTCCAAAGGCTAATCCTCAACCTTCTGCTCTTAATACAAGCTCCTCTAAAATATCTCCTCTTATGGCTCTCAGGTACTTCAATAGCTTCCTAAACTGTTGTGACTATCTAGGTCTGCTTTGTCATATGCATCATGCAAATTGATGTCAGATTATGTTCCAAGAACTCTTTTTATTATAGTACTCTGCTGCTCAACATCCTTAAATAAGTATCCAGTGCCTTATATGCTAAAATTAAATTTTCTTAGCTTGTTCTTTAAAGGCTCTTGTGAATCTGTTTTCTCATCTCTAGCTAGCCTTGTTTTCCATTCAAACACTAACGCTTAATCCTAAACAAATCCATCTAGCAAGTCTCCAGACATATCTTTAACATCCTAGGTTCAACGTTTTTTGAAAAACAGCCCCTTTACCTGAAAATATTTCCTTCTCATTTGTGCACCTAACTTTATAGTATAAAATGCAACCACCTTTCTGAATTATTCCATGTGTAAGAACTCTCTCTTCTACAGTATCAGCTCTTTATACTAGAGGTTGTAAAATGGTTTTGTTTGGTCCATTGTTTAAAATGTTGATGTAATACCTAACACTTAAAAATCGTTGAAGAACGGAAAGTTCTAGTAGGGCCCACACTTCAACAAATAGCTGAAGTTTACTATCAGCTGCCATCTTTAGATATGCGTTGTTCAGTTCAAAAGTCTTGGCTTGATTCGAAAAGTATTTACTGAGCACATATTACTTACCAGAAACTGTTTTAGACGCTGGGGATGCAGAAGTGAAACAAAACAAAACAAAAC